AAGATGCATGCCTAGGGAAGACGTCAACCTTTATTAAAGGGAAACAATAACAGGTGGCGTGTGAGGTAACAGAATTCCCAAATGTGCGTGTGCGGTTGAAATATGGTGAATGGATGCATGCATCAAAACCTGGATGAAGGTACGATAGCAAACAGTGGCAACCCGCACACAAAAGTGTACTAATGTACCTAAGAGCGAGCAAAGGAGATAGGAGAGGAACCCATAACAGACCAAGGTATAGCTACCTCTTCTAGGTTTGATATACTAAATGAGGTAACAGAGGTTGAGGAGCCACACTACCAAGTGCATGACCATGTCAGGCTGCACAATGCAAAGACACAGAATACCCAAGAATGCCACAAAAGTTTCAACAAAGCTCAGCCCCTGGTCAAACTTAGGGCTCAACATGCAGTAGCGGGGCCCATGATAATAATAGTGGGCTAATGAATCTCCAACCAAAGCCACTCGACCCAATAGCAGGTAGAAGAGGCATTCATCTATCTTTTGGGCTTAAAATCAAAAGCCTAAGTGATAAGCCTAATGAAAAACCCTCAGGACCTTCAGTTTGAGCTTTGAAAGAAATTGCCAAAATCTTACATGAGGAAAGCAAGTAGAAGACTAATGATGAGGCTATTGTAATGTTGGTAGAAGGAGTTGAATTCAGCTCAGCTTCTGAGCAATAATTTTTCTCTTATGATTATGTTTATCTTTGTTTGGAATTGTCAAGGAGCCTTAGATAAAATGTTTTCTTCAATTACTAGATCTTTTGTGACTAATTACAAACTTGACATTGTTGTCATTGTAGAACCTTGAATTTCAGGAGGAAAGGCAGATACAGTCATTAAAAAGCTTGGATTTCATTTCTCACACTAAGCAGAAGCTTCAGGCTTTTCAAGAGGTATCTGGGTCGTCTGGATGGATAGAATAAGCATTAACATGCTCACCAATCATCCTCAGTTCATTCATATGGAAGTTGATTTCCCTTCCTATAGAAGAAAATTCCTCTTCTTGGCAGTCTATGCAAGCCCACAGGAAAGGCATTGGGAATTCTTTTGGCAGGATTTGACTCAAGTAATAACTGATCCAAATGTACCTTGGGTACTTGCTGGTGATTTCAATGCTACAATTAATAGTAATGAGTGTATAGGGGGAAGCAGTAGAAGAAAAAATTATGGTTGTAATTTATTTAAAAATTTCATGAACTAACATAGCCTTATTGACTTGGGTTACAATGGCCTAAAATATATGTGGAAAAGAGTCACACTCGTGGTCTGATTAGATAGAGCCTTATGCAATCAAAGTTGGCTCAATTCACATAACGCAAGTTGGGTTGATTACTTGCCAAAGCTTATATCAGATCATAGACCCATTCTAGTTCAATTAGGTATACAAAAGCAACATGGGCCTACAGCTAAAGCTTTTAAATTTCTTGCTTCATTGGCCTCACATCTTGATTTCAATGCTTTTGTTCAATATAGATGGGATCTAGCGAGAAGTTTACTTGACAATATTGGGGTCTTCTCTCATCAGGTTGAACAATGGAATACTCAGACTTTTGGTAGTATTGGGAAGGGAAAAGAGAGAACTTTGGCACGACTTGCAAGGGTGTAGCGAAAGCTTGAATATTCTCCCCTCTCAAAACCTGTCTTAGACCTTAACTAATATCTGAGAGAGAAGTATGAAAATATTTGTTTGCAAGAGGAGCTTTTTTGGCTCTAAAAATCATCTGCTAATTGGATCTGTTTAGGAGATAGGAATATAGCCTTTTACCATACCAAGGCAATTTTTTGAAGGTGCTGAAATCACATATCCCAACTTCACTCATCCCAAAGGGAATGGATCAAAGACCCATAACAACTTCTATACTTGGCTCAAGAATTTTTTTCAAACTCTTTATAGTCTGGATGAAGCCAACTTCACACCCTATGTGATCACAGGTGCTTTCCCTAAACTCATTGCTCCTTTGTATGCAAATCTTAATAAAATGGTATCCTTTGAAGAAGTTAAAATAGCTCTTTTTGTCATGAAACCTCTCAAAGCCCCTTGAATTGATGGCTTGCATGCTTTTTTCTTTTAAAACCAATGGGAGATAGTTGGAAAAATCTTTTCCAATACATTAAGGAATTTTGGCAAGGTAAACCTCTTGACCTTATGCTAAATTGTGCCCTTATAACTTTGATTCCAAAAATTCACAAGCCCCAATACCTTAGAGAGTTTCATCCAATTAGCCTTTGCCCTGTTCTTTATAAGGTGATTACTAAGATATTGGCCAGTCGCCTAAGTGAGATTATGCCTCAAATCACTCTACCATTTCAAACCAGCTTTATGCAAAATCACAATATTGTTGACAATATAATTATATTATACAAGAGGTCATTCATTCTATGTGGAAGAAAAGAACAAAAAATGGCTGGATGGCAATGAAAGTTGTTTTAGAGAAAGCTTTTGACAAACTAAGGTGGGACTTCAAACATGACACTTTACTGGATATTGGATCACCCCCAACTCTAATTGGCTTAATTATGGAGTATATTACCAGTCCCTTGATGCAAGTTCTTTGGAATGGAAATCTCAATCGTAGTTTCCCCCATAGAGGGGCATTCGTCAAGGCGACCCCTTTCTCCTTATATTTTTGTTCTTTGTATGAAACGTTTATCATAAGCCATTATTGCAGCAGTCAATCAAGGTTCTTGGCGCACTATGAAGCTTGGAAGAAAAGATGTCCCTCCCTCCCATCTTTTCTTTACTAATGATTTAATACTTCTCGATGATGCGTCTAATACATAGATTGAAACTATTCAGAGAGTCCTACAATAATTCTGTCAATCCTCAGGTCAGATTGTTAGTCAAGCCAAAACACAGATCTACTTCTCAAGGAATGTTCTTGAAGCCTCTGCAAGAACCATATGCCAAAAGCTAGTATTTCAACGAACCAACTCTCTTAGCCACTATCTGGGTGTTCCACTGATTACTAGGAGAGTGAGCTTTAGTACTTATAAGTATATTATTGATAGAGTGCATCAAAAACGGGCACGTCGGAAGAGCAAAACTCTTTCCCTTGCGGGATGCATTACTCTACCAAAATCTGTCCTTATGTCAATCCCATTCTATTCGAAGCAAAGTACCTTGCTCCCTTCATCCAGCTGTAAAGCTATTGAGAAGCTAGTTAGAAAATTTATATGGGGCTATTCTGATGGTATAAGGGAGTTAGCCTAATCAAATGGAGCGAAGTCTGCCAACCTTTGGCTAATGGGCGCTGGGGACTTACTAACCTTGAAGGACAAAACAAGGCTTTTCTCTCGAAATTAGCATGCAAAATAGTGGCTGAACCTCATCTCTCTGGGTGTGGGTTTTACTGGGTAAGTACGGTATTCAAAATTTGTCCCACTCAGAACTTAAGACTAATAACTGCTCTTACCTCTGGCGAAGTATTGCAAGCATATGGACAGATACAATGATGAATATCAAGTGGACACCAGGGGATGGAAACAAATTGAAATTCTGGAACGACTATTTGGTAGGTGACTTGGGACCTTTGAAAAATATAACTTATGTGGAAATTAACAGAGCAGAGCAGTAAAAAAGCATATCAGAATTTCTCACTGCAGATGGGCAATGGAACTGGACCTCATTCAGCTGCTTACTTCCAAAAACAGTTCTGGACCAAATCAGAGCTACTAATATATCTTATGAAGAAACACTGCCTTCTTGCTTTTGGCGACTCACTATTGATGGATCATTCTCAATTAAATCTGCATATAAAGCGTTCCAATCTCTTAACTGGCTTGATGAGGATGAGAAATGGCTTTATTTGTGGAAACTTCCAGTGGCTCAGCGAGTTTGTACATTTCTTTGGTTTCTCCTCAAAGGTAGACTTTTAACCAACTCGGAAAGAGTACGACGATGAATGACTGATGATCCCCAATGTTCTCTTTGTATAGAGGCTGCAGGGGACATTAACCACGTCTTCAAACACTGCACTTTTGCAGCTTCAGTCAAGGGGAAGATATTACCAAGTGATATGTATGCGGAATTTAGGAAGGACAACATTGACTCTTAGCTATGCTGTATTTTCCAATCAAGGAAGACTAAAGTTTCCTGGCAAGTAGGCATTGGCATCATTTGCTGGAAATTATGGGAAGCTCGTAACCGCCTAATCTTCGCTGCAGAACATTACCACGTGGATACTTTCTGCGCACACGTTAGGATTTTAGTGGAGCATGCTCTTAAAGTTTTCTTTGACTTTAAAAACCTAATGTAATTAGTTGTTGCTTGTACCTATACAGTTTTCTCATGAATTCCTTTTTCGACTCAAAAATATTTGAGATTTACAAGTAAAAATTTTTACATTCACAAATCAACCTCTTATAATATTAATACTTTAATATTTACAAATTAAAGTTTATATAATTTTACATGTTAAGCTTGTAAATTAAGATATTTAATTTGTAAATCTATGAAATTGACTTGTAAATTTTAACCTATAAATATTAATATTAACCTACTGTAAGAGGTCAACTTGTCAATGTAAAAAATTTGAGTTGTAAGTTTTAAAAATTTACTTGTAAATTTGAGACATTTGACTTATAAATATTAAAATATGAATAATTTAATAAAAAGTATTTTTCAACAATCATTGATGGTTGATCAACATCAAAGAGGTGTGAGTTTAAGAGTTTATGTATTATTTTATATTGTAAATTAATTACAATCAAATTCTATGAGAGTTGAGTATATTTTTATAAATTTATGGAATTTCTTTATAAATAAATTTTACATGAGACATTTTTGTAATTTTTCATTCTTTTTATGAACAATAGTGCTTTATTCAAATATTGAAAAAACAAAAAATATATTTCATTTTTAGTTTCAATTTAATTTCAAGTTGTTTATGTTGTCATTATTATTTGAATAACTTTAGTCAAATTTACTTTTGAGATTATTCTTTAATTAAGAAATAAGAAATCTACCTTATATATTTTCTCCTCCCGTTTTCCTTCTCTCTCTTTTCTTTTTCTGGGCAACATTTTGGGGGAGATCCAATTGCGTCCTGGTTATGCTTTGACGGAAAACTGCCGAAGGAGCGAGGCTGGCAAACCGCAAAGCTAGCTAAAAGGCGACGAGGAAGCAAGGGGCATCGCGGATCCACCCAAGTTTATCCTGGTCATCTGAGCTTCGTGAGCCGTGGATTAGTGGGTTTACTCATCCTCAGACTCACTTTCTATTAGAGGAGTAACAACGTTGAATGGTTGGTTCATGCAGTATGAGTTGAATTGGTCTTTTCAGAATCAAAACCGCTGTTTTTTCTTTTCCTCGATGTAGATTTTTGCGAATCGATTTATTCTCTCCTTCCTTGCTCCCTGCGATTACATTCGTGCTCCACACTTTTCCTTCCATTTCTTCCCCTCTTTATTTCTAATACATTTTTTCTCTTCCAGAACTATCTCATTTTTCTATCATCTGTTAGGGATCTAAGAAGCTTCACTTCTAGCTGGATGAAAAGAAATTTTAATATGAAGGTTCAGTCTTTTTTAGTGGTTTCTATCAATTTATAGCCCTAACTGTTATTGAAATGTGCTTATACCCTTTGTTTCTTCAATAATTTCTTTTAAAACTGTTTATACAGGACCCCACTTTATGATAACATGATGAACAATGTATCTATTATCCTTTTATTGGAGTTGAATTTGCGTGGCCTTTAGTTAAATTAGTGTTTTATTTTACTTAGCTGTATTTGTAGTATCGTTGTTTTTCATTTTCAAATATTACTAGATCTCTTCCAAAAGTTTGGAGTTTGGGGCATGCTCTTTTTTACTGCCTAAAAAATCCTTTACTGTTATAACACTAAGTGTTGGGAAAAGTTATGGATGCTATGTAGTCCCTGTAATCTACTTTTGACAACTCAGTGTTGATGGCCTTCTTTAGAGCGTCCAAAACTTTCTTTTGGTGGCCAAACATTCAACACAGTTGTAGCTGCGCATACTGTTGGAAATTTATAACTTTCAAGGCTTTCCACGTATTGTAGAGTGCTGAAATTTTACTGCATTTGATCTGCATAATGCCTGGGAGCTACATGCTGTGCATGTCAAAAAAGCAGTGTTGTTTTACTCTGTTCGTTTGCAGCCTTCTGTTGCATCAATGGGCCAGATCACATCTTGTATCAAACACATCTCACCCCCGATTTAGCGTAATCATGGACATTATTTCTCCTGGTCTCCTCCTATCAGATTCCTTCCTCTACAAAATCCAGACCTCGTAGCCCCATTCTTCTCTTTCACCTCTATTGAACTTATGCTTGCCATGTCGTGTCGTCTCGAAATATTTGAAATTGAAACCATTGTTCATCAAACCCACTCTCTGTTTTCTGTTTGAAGCTCCATTTGCTGCCCTCTTCCATTGAGCTCATTTTCCATTCTCTCTCCTGGCTCCAGCCCCTAGTCTTCCGCCTGCCCATCATTCTTCTTCCTCATTTCTTCTCCATCATCATTCTGTGTTTGTTAAAAAAATGTTTACCAGAACAAAAACCCCTTTCATGTAAACCCCTCAAGCTGGCTGGTTCTTTGAAAATTTTGGTCTCCCACTTGAGTGGAACAGACCTGCTTCATTACTGGTGCTTGTGGAGGAAAATGGAGGTAAGTTAAATTGTCTACAGCACGTTTCTGAGATAAGGGAGTAAATGGATGGCTCAAATGTATTTCAGTTAATGGCCTGAATGCGTCCCTCGAAGCTTCCAAAATAAAATGATGTGAAGTGTTTTATGGAAAAGCATACCGTGCATCTTTGTTAGGAATTGGAAAGGATTTCATTCCAAATGTTACTTTCTATATCCCTTTCCTATCTTTCTTTCTTTGTGACAAAATTCTTTGTGAACAAATATCCACAAGCCTTCGGGCATGTCCTCATTTTAATTGTTCATTAATCATAATGTTTTCCGAAAACAAAATTGTTTGTGGAATTGCAGTATAGTACTCAAAGTAGTGACCATGATAAGGGGGGGAATTCCTGCCTTGAGATAACTAATAGATCTAAGGCACTTCTCAGTTTCATGTGTTTATTTTGCTAACTTTGAGCAATTTGTGTGTTCAGGATAAACAACTTCATAGACTAATGGTTTGAGTGAACCTGTAGGCATTATTTTTAGAAGTGCAGTACGAAGAAGTGCCTAATGCCTTAGATGTGAGGCTTAGTCTTTTTTCATACATGATGACTCCTTGTTTACATATATGTGCTTGAGCTGTCGTATGATCAATTCAAAAGTTGCAGGTTTTTCTATCCTTCTCTTTCTTATAAATCTTAGGTTCATGCACCCAACTATAATAGCTTTAATCTTGGTAAGCTTTTATGCTAATCTGGAAGGCATCTGGCAATTTCAACTTCAAACTAAATAGTTACTTCTCTAGTTTTATTTATAAGTCACTTTCAACATATTTCACTAGAACTAAGGAAAACTTTAAATCTTATTAACTTTAAAATTTAGTAAGTTTCTACCTCTACCCCTTAATAAAGACAAAAAGAATTTTTTTTAGCATTTAATAAGGGCTGAAAGGTAAAGACAAGTATAGAAAATAATGAAGTACCTTATAAATAGAACTAAAATTAATATTCTCTCTCTGTCCTATAAATATGATCAGAAGCGTGTAATTCAAAAGCCAATAAGGGTTTCTATATATTTATGTGTGTGATAGATGTTTGCAACAATAATTTTTGTGAATTGTGATGGTAGAGATGCTATTTCAAAATTTAGTTCGAATTCCAATTTCTGTTTTAATAGTTTGACTTAATACAGTTGATGAAACAACACAAAATGGGTAGAGAGAAGGATGATGGAAGAAAGAATTGCAGTAGCAGCAGTTTCTCGCATCCTCAGAACAAGAGCCAAAAGGGTAACTGTTTAGGGTGCCTCCCTGAAGATGCCTTGTTTGATATCCTCACTTGGCTTCCTGCTGAATGCCTCCTTAGCAGTGCAAGGTATACTTGCAAATATTGGGCTGCAATGATCTGCAGTTCTGATTTTGCTGAGAAACACCTCCTCCGGTCAAAACCTGGTATTTTCCTTCAAAGCACAAAGCGTCCATATGGTGCCTGGTTCTTGGATGTTAAAGATAATGGGGAGTTTGGTGTGACTACTTTAAATCCTGATTTTCCTGGACGTTTTGTGAATAGTTGTGATGGCTTGATCGTACTTTACGAAAATGCTAGAGGAGTTCTTAATGTTACAAACCCTGTTACCAAACAGCGTGTTAAGGTTCCTATGTTACTCAGTCCCAATCTGATGTATCCTCCATGTGCTGTAGTACGTGTTCCTCGCACTGGGGAATTCAAACTGTTTGCTTCTCGTGTCCTGACTGAGTCTGAAGTTTGTTATTGCCACTGGCATGTTCTTAGACTTGGGAAAGATAGTGCTTGGACAAGAATTTCTGTAGAACCCGGTGATTTTGAGTTTAGATGCACCCCGATCTACACCGGAGGCAATGATCTTTATTGGATCACAGAGAAGCGAGTGATTGTGATGGACGTTGAGAAGGAAACATTTCAGCAGTTTCCGCTTCCACAGGGGCCTCATCGATGGTATGCACAATACTTGAAGATGGAGAATCGTCTCGCTTCCGTTATCTGGGTGGCCGGAGAAGGGTTTCAAATGCAAGTATTTGACCCTGATTCGGGAAACTGGAATCTCTATCATGAGATGAAATGCTTGGATTATCCTACGGGCGACATTGAATTTCTATCAGAATTTTTTGCTTTGTGGATAAACCAAGAACTGATTATTAAACTAATCCTTCTACCCACTTTGAATACATTATTTTTCAGTTATGATATGAAGACAGGAGGAAGGCTCAAAAAGATTGACGCCATCCAGGAAGGTTCCTTTGATGTCGGTCTTCATACCAATAGCCTAGTTTCGTGGAAGAATACTCTGCCGTTATCGAGCCTACGTTCCTGACCGATGCTTTCCTCATGATGTGTGTACTTTCTTTGTTTTGTAGGGGTATGTAATGTGACTTCTGTAGCACCGTATTTTGCGTATTTTGGTTTTGATAAAATATTGATACTAGTATATCTTGTTGGTATCTGGAATGCTTGCATGCTGATCGTCAAATGAATTCCTCCAGTTCATTTAGATTGCTGTAGTGTTTTCCCGCCATAATTAAAGACAAACCAAAACAAAAGGAGAGCACGTTGTGCTGCATCCCTCACAAAGCTGATGATCATCATCTAAATGATTTGACTTTCGACTTTTGACCAAGAAATTACGTTATTTTAATCCCATGATATCCTAGCTTGAAGGGTCATGAGTAGCAAAAGGTGGATTATGCACGTTGATTCCTCTCTCCTTCGTCGGAAGACGCGACATACCGTAGAATTATTTAGACCGAGAAAGTTGATAGTGACGGAATAATTAAGATATCTACCAAGTGATTTTGGGAAAAATGAATGACCTCGGCTATTTCGATTTAGGGTATTTAATGATACATGGATTTGGAGGAAGCAAAATTGCGTTTATAGTTAGAAAAGAAAGGAGAATGGGGTACTTCGTCTTGATTGTCGCGAAGCTTGCGCTGGGCCGGGGTTGTGGCTGTGCATGTATATAAGCCAGCGGTGGGAGGAGCAACGTGGGAGAATGGCGGTGGAGACGAAAATGAGGGACGTGGAGGGGTACATGATGGGGGGGCGGTACTGGCGGGACGTGGAGATGACAAAAGAGCAGATATTGGAATATGTGAAGAGCATCGAGGTGGGAGTGGCCGGCAAGGATGGGTGGGTCATGGACGTGGACGACACCTGCATATCCAACCTCGGCTATTACAAACACCACGGCTTTGGCTGTCAGGCCTTTGATTCCGCCAAGTTCAAGCAGTGGATCATGAAGGCCGAGTGCGACGCCATCCCTGCCATGCTCGCCGTGTTCCAGGAGCTCGTCCGCCGTGGATTCAAGGTCTTCCTCGTCACCGGCAGAGACCAAGCCCGCATGGCCCACATCACCTCTCTCAACTTGCATGGCCAGGGATTCATCGGCTACCACCGCCTCCTCTTCAGGTAAGCCTCGTCCATCATGTTTCCCGCATTTCAACTCCAAGTACAGACTAGAAGACCATGCTTTCGCGTCATGCGCTTGAACCGATCGAGTCAGTCAGTACCAACTGTCAAGTGAACGCAGCTGCATGATATATTATATTAACATATATATGAGAACACTAAACAAGTGTAAAACGATCGAGTATATTTGTTGATGGCTTGTGTTTCTTTATGAAATTACTACATACAAATGATGTGCAGGAGTGAACAGTACCAGGCGGAGAGTGCGGAAAAATACAAGTCAGAGATGCGAAGGAAGATAGAAGGAGAAGGATATAAAATATGGGGCAACGTGGGAGACCAGTGGAGTGATCTCCAGGGTTACTCTCCAAGGAATCGTACTTTCAAACTCCCAAATCCCATGTATTGCATCCCTTGATTTTCCTTGTTTAGTTAGCCTCAACCATGCATGCATGTATGATCGTAAATTCACTGGAGTCACATCCCATCTTATTATGTATATTAGAGGGCTTCATATCATGTACGTGCATGCCTCACTCTCGTGCATCTCTATTTCTAGACAATATGTATCCCATTTAAGCTTTTAATTACCAAGAGATATATATCGCCTTCTTCAACTACTTCACATCCTCGATGGACATCTTGAATTTAATCATCTTCCATTGAACAAGCTAAGTGGTTGTGTAAAAGTAAGAGACTGTCTGCAATTGGCCAATTCAGCAGCCAGTGATCCAGCAGCAAAAATTTTAATTGTATCCCATAATATTTTTCATTATCAAAATTTTGCATTAATTTTATATGGAGTGGAACACAAACAGTCGAAATTTGTATTATATTGCCTTACCCCACCCCCGGCCCCCAAAAAAAAAAAAAATCACCTAACTCAATTCTCCCTCGTGTCCAATTCTGTCTTTATGCTCTTCCACAAACATAAACTCAAAAATTGATTCATTGCTGTTTTGTTGATAGGCGCGCTCGCGCGCGCAAATTTAAAATTATTTACGTTGATCATGATTAGTTTGAAAATCCAATAATAACCAATAAGTTATGAACTAAAGTAAAATTCTTTTTACGTTTTTGACCTTTACAATTAATTCCCTATGGCCCCTTTTCCCTTCCCCCCTCTCTCTCTGTGAACCCTTTGGAAATGTGGCTTAGATTGGTTCAACATCCAGATCCCTGAATATCGCTGCTGACTAATATCCTTATGGTCGAAACCCTAACTAGCTACCTTCTTCTCTGTCTCCCATCTCCTCTCAATTTTCCATATTTAATATTTTTTTATCATCATCATCACAGTTTACGCTTAGATTTTAAAACACAATTAAGGGGAAATTTTTTATCAGAAAACATAAATAAACTTCCCTTCTTACACGCACTAGAGAGAGTCTGGAGTCACATGAGTGACAAAAACTAAGCACGTACATTGATTGTGTTGGAAACTACTTTATGCTGAAAAACCAACAAAGAAATAAAAGATGAACGACGCCGATGTGTCAAAGCAGATCCAACAGATGATCAGATTCATTCGCCAAGAGGCTGAGGAGAAGGCTAACGAGATCTCCGTCGCTGCCGAAGAGGTATATATATATGTGTGTGTGTGTTCAAAATTTACGTATATACAGAGGCGGAGATTCTAACTTCATAATCAAATCACGATACGGCAGGAATTCAACATCGAGAAACTTCAATTACTTGAAGCTGAGAAGAGAAAGATCAGGCAAGAATATGAAAGGAAAGCCAAGCAGGTTGACATTCGCAAAAAAATGTGAGTTCTTCGATCTTCATTTGGGATCCCATGCCATTTGTGATTTGTGTGATTTTAAATTTTGGGATAAGTTAAAAGTATTGGTCAAGAAAAAGCAGCCAAAAAAAAGGGAAGTAATGGAATTGGGGAGTAATTATATATTGCAGCGAATACTCGATGCAGCTGAAAGCATCGCGTATAAAAGTACTCGAAGCACAAGATCAAGTGGTGAATGCCATGAAAGAATCTGCTAGCATGGCGCTTGCGCGTATCTCTGACGATAAGAAAGTGTACAGGAATCTGATGAAAACGTTGATTGTCCAGGTATTACGATAATTAGGTTTTGTAGTGGCTGGAGGGAAATGGAGGAATATATATTATAGTTGCTTGTTGCAGGGGCTGATGCGGCTGAGGGAACCGGCATTGATATTGCGGTGCAGGGAGGTTGATCGGAAGCTGGTGGAGTCGGTGGTGGATGAAGCCAAAAAGGAATATTCAGAGAAAGCTAAAGTGCAGCCCCCAAAGATAAGGATCGATGAACGAGTTTATCTTCCTTCAGCTCCCAAATCTGGCAACTCCCACGAATCTTTCTGGTATGTTGTTTCGTTAGTGGAAGCATGAATCAGCATCGTGAGTTTGAAGAGAGCAATAACTAACATTTGCGTTTGAAATATGAAGCTCCGGAGGAATAGTATTGGCATCGGAGGATGGGAAGATAGTGTTGGAGAACACTCTTGACGCAAGGCTTGATGTCTTTTTCCGTCAGAAGCTCCCTCAGGTTCTTTTCTTTCCTCTTTTTTTATTTACATTTAATTTAAAAGCAGTTATATATTTTCTGTCTAAGTTAAACTAAATCACAAAAAACAATCTATATTCTTTACAGTGTAAGAAGGCATGTTTCGTGACATATATGTCAAGGGTTGTTGAACATAGAAGAGGATACTTTTTGAAATGAAATAAGATATATTTAAGGGAACATTACTCCCAACTTCTTTGGAAGCGTTAATTTTACACTTTGGTTCCTTGAAATCCACTATCTAAAGTGACAAGCTTTTGTTGCTGTAAATGAAGCCTGAAACATAATTTCTAAAACGTCCTTGCATTTTTTTTTTTTGAAAAAAAATTCTTCCAACCATCCATCGTTGGCAGAGCTGTCACCATAGGAACCTTATCATTGGTGGCAAGATTACTAGAACTATCATTTCATAAATGACTACTCTCGCCAAAAAATTCATTTGGCATAAATTTTTAGCAAACATTCAGTTGTCCCCGGATGGTTGGAGATTTTTTTTTAAAAAAAAAAAAGAAAAAGTAAGAACATTTTAGTAATTATATTTCGAAACGAATTTACAATGAAGAGATTTGGAGATTTAGGAGGGATCTAAGTAGAATTAACTCTTTCAAAAAATTTGGGAGTAATTTTCCCTATATTTAAGTTTCTTAACCAAGTATTAGTTCTAGTAGTATCAAATTAAAGCAACCAAGGTTTGAAAGATGAAGAGGGTGGTCACTTTGGTTGCAGATCCGGAAGCGCATTTTAAGTTGAAGATATCCTTTTCTGGTCACTTTAAGTTGAAGAGATTATGCAAAGGGAATGTGGAGGAATAGAAGGGACAAGACAATCCTCGTTGGACACCTTTAATTCTTGAACCGAACCGATCGACCGAACCATGTTCAGAACTTAATTGGTTTTTGTTTCTGCCTTTCACCTTTCTCGGGTTACACTTTGCCGTTTCCTTCTTCTGTACCTTTTGTCCGATTGGGAAAAAAACTGTAGACTGAAACCAAAACATGATAATAACAGGAAGCCTTCTGTTACATTTCATCAAAAAATCCTTCAAAAAAGGGGGGGAAAAAAGAAATAAGAGATATGCAACAAATATTCTAAAAAAAATATTAGATACTTGAATTTATATCTTTAAAGTATTGGTTTTAAGTACTAAAAATAAAAGAAAAGGAACAGTTCAGGCCAACAACAAAATCCCATGCATCACTCATGCGTTGATGGACTATTAGCAACTTATTCTATGCTACTATCTCCAAGACAAAAGCCTATAAATGTCATCTTGAGCGCGAGGAATGGACTCGAGTATTTTCAGCAGCGTTCATACATGGTGAAAGGAAAACGCACAATAATGATGAGAAACTCTAACCACCAGCTCATTTACACCTATAATAACCTGGAAAAAGGACAACACGATAGCATCAATTATCTTAAGAGACAGAGTGCCTCCTACTCCGACCATTTTTCCCCTCTGAACCACGAGACTTTCTACCTGATTTCTGCCTCTTTCCTCCACTTTGACTGCTAAAAATCCCAATTCTCCCGATTCCCTTTGAAAGAGAAGTAAAAATTGTTCTTCCATTTCCTGCTTTGTCCATCATCCCTTGCTTCATGAATGTTTGTTCCTTCTCCAACTCACTCAGCCTCACCCTCATCCTTGAAATCTCCAGCTTCAGTTCTCTGTTCTCTCTCCGTAGAGATGCGTAGTTGTCTCGCGGTGACATGGCCGCGCTCGGAACACCACTGCTCATTCTCTGTGATAGGAAGCCGTCTCCTTCTCCTGAACTTCCTGACAAGGCATTCTTCAGCCTCAGCTGCTCAAAATACAGAACTTGCACCACCATCTGCAATGGAAGCCTGTCGTTCTGAGCTGCATGGTTAGATGCTTCTTGAGACAGCTTCTGGCAGTCTATGTGCTTGCACAGCTTCTTGCATTCTTGTTCCGTTAGGGCTGGATGTGCCTGAATGAGCGCAGAATTTAGGGTTTGTTTCAAGAGTTTCGTGGTAATTTAAGAAAAGAAAAAAAATGCAGCAAACTTATAAAATGAACACAAGAGACTTTTTAGTTTCTATGCATTATATAGATAAGAAAAGTATATATGTTTAAAAGAACTTTATTTTTACAGAAAATTTTAAAAGCACCCTAAGCAAGAGATCAAACATAAAGTTATGACTTCATTCTGAAAAAGGCGGCAAGAGCCACAAATTTCCAAGCCAGACCATTTTGTTTTTGGACAATCAAATGGGACTTTAATCAAAATAGTTTTGTAGGTTTTAAACGAGGAGACAAAAAAATTATAGCTTTAGCACTAATTTACCTTGAGATAAATATCAATAGCTCTATAAAGTCCATCATCAATGACCCGAGCATAATCTGGAAGTATCTCAATCAAAGCGATGAATTTCTGAAGACTTAAGTACGGATCAGGAGCAATTTCGGCTAAATAAGCATCAATAAGCCTCCCAACTTTCAATAGAGAACCATGGTCAGGAGAGCTTAACCCATCAGATTCATAACCCCCACAACTTTCACTCTCTTCCTCTTCAATCCTTTGCAAGAAACTCAGAAGTATCCTATGAACAGTATCCACATCAAACAGTGAATCCCCACACTGAACTACAGATGGTATGAGTAGATCATCTAATGATACCATTTCCAACCTCAATGATATCCTCCTTTCAAGCTCAAGTCTACATGGAATTGTAGCACCGAGCATGATTGCCATCTTCAGCATCCCAAACAGAAAGGTCAATGGGACATTTGGACAAGTTTTATTGTCTGTTGGCATTAGACTTACAAGAGTTTCCACCATTGTCCTCTGATCGTTTTCTGCTATACTAGGACTCAGTTTAATCCTTGCTGGGTTCGAAATCTGACATTTTCCAATACCCTTTAAGGATGTCTGAGCATAATGCATTAAACAAGCAGTGATACTGTTTGATTGGACCCCCATTCTCCCCATTGCACAAACAACTCTCTCAAAGAAATCAATATTCAATATCGACAAATCTTCCGCCCACCAATCTATACAAGAACCATCCTTCAGTTCTTTGGATTCATTATTATCACAATCTAGTTGAGACAAACCCAAAACAAGCTGCTCCTTGCAAGCATTCATCGCAATGGCTTCCACACATCTACTTGTAATTTCCACATTCTCAGCTATTGTGGGTAACATCTTGCAGGTGGATAGCACTTCCACTGACTTTTGAAGATTTTGAAAGACAACCTCATTTAGGTAAGTTTCTGTTCTTGCTATAAGGTTCTGGTCCCGGAAATCTTCTGTCATTTCCAAGTATTCAGCAGCACAGCGAAGGCCAGCAACATTGTCAGTTGTAATCTCGAAATTCATGCCATAACAGAATTTCATGGCAAGTTCAAACGTTTGGTGTCCTCCTGGGAAGTTGTGGAGCTCCAAATGGGAAATGTCAGTTCCCCTGGCATCAGCAACCATCTTTCTGATCTTCCCACTTAGAGAAACTAAGGGGAACTTCATAGATTAGCACAAAAATAAACAAGTTAGTCGAAGGATGTCCCTTTCTTTCTTTGCATATTATGGATTTTATGATCAAAAGTTTATTGCATCCCAAAGAGTTTTCGATGAAGATGTTAGAACTTTTCAAATCTGAAGCCATTGCAAAAACAATTTAGGATTGAATATCTGCAATTTAAAGGAATAAGCAAAACAAGGTTTATTTTTTCATCGCATCTTGTAAAGAAGATTTTACCTTATGCAGTAGAAATGACTCCCTATCAACAACAACAGTAATGTCACCAGCAACATCAGCAAAAATTCTGCGTAAATAGTAATAGTAGTAATAATAATCACACATGAAAATTGCCATATAAACCAATCAATAATTGGAAAGTAGATAAACAAATCCACAGCATCTATTGATTTCTTCTGTTACTTCAACGCAATGAAGAAAATGAAGAGTGGAGTCTAACAATATCTTTTTTTTTTTCTTTTCGTGTCCCCCCTCCCCAAACAATTATAGCAGTCTTTCTTGCTTATGTAGTAATAATGAAAAAGAAAGCAACAATCAAAGAAAAAAAAAGGGCAATGTGCAGTAGCAGCGTTACAGATGTTTTATCTCAAGAGATAAAAATGACAGGAGTATTATGTATTAAAAAAAGAAGACAGTGGTATTAACTTGTGTTTTTTGGTTTGTTTGAATAACGAGTAAACCATTCACGAAGGTCCCTGCTTTGAATTTTCAAACAGCCAATATGCCAGAAGGATTAGGCTTCTAGATGGCTGACGGTGAAATAGCAGCAGTCTTGAGACCTTGATTTTATGGACAGTAAAAAAAACACTGTTTCAACTTGCAAAGATACAGTTTTTTGTGCTTAAGTAAAAATAATCCAATAGGTATTCCCAAGGTAAAATCCACTATAAGGCAACCAAAACCAAGTGAAGAATATACAAAGCAAATGGCGAGACAGAAAAGAAGTTAAAAATGAACGAGACCACGGAGAAAATAAGCACACATAATTGGTGAAGGAAGAAATGCAAAGGATAATGATGGAGAGACGTAAAAAGGATGTAGAAAGAAAGTAGAAGCAGTACCTAGTAGTGAAGGAATTGGAGGGGGAGCGTTTAGAGGAAGAAAGGGAGCTCTCAGAAACCATGTCTTTACGAGTTTGAGTTTGAAGAAGAGGCTCCTCTCCCCTGCTATGCAGCGCTGCAGAGGAACAGGGGAAATTGTTGATTCCCGAATCTGCGGAACAAATGTCCTGAAATGCCCTCCTCCCAGTCAAATATTCATGAGATTATGTGTGCGTTATGTGGTTGCGGGGATAACATTAAGATAAGAGCACTGTTTTGAAAATCAGATCGGACCGAAAGATTAGATCGGTTGGACCGTCGACCGGTCTGATTTTCGGTCTAGTTTATAGAAAAAAACCATTTTAAGAGTTGAGCTAGATTGAGCCGTTTTGAACCTGCGGTCGGATCGGGAACCGAAATCAAGCAGAGAACCAGATCTGATTTTCAAAAATCGGATTGTTTAAAAAAAAATTTTTTTTTTTTTGTCAAATTTTTTTAAAAAAATTGACTAATTTTAAAAAAATGACTAATTTTTTTAATCATTTGATATTATATTGTATCATGTGGCTTATTAAGTCATGATAAACTTAAAATATTTGATTTTTTTAAGTTAAGTAGCAATTTCATATGTATTTCTTATATTTAAATTATTATATATATATATAATTTTTTTTAATTTAATTATTACGTTATTGGTTGAATTATTGATTCAATTGATTAAATCATGCGAATCATAAATCGTTGACTTTTTTAATTTAATGTCCGATCCGATCCTAAAAATATTGAATAAGAGTCAGTAATTGAGAAGGTGGTAGCAATGGCAGAGGGAGTAGAAATGAAGAACTGGAGGGGCAAAGGAAGGAAGGAAAAGAGATGAAGTGGCAAGGCAGTCAGATGAGAATGCGACTCATTGAACACGGAACTCTATAAAGATGCAATTATTTGGGACACTTCTTTTCCTCCCTCCTTTTCTTTTCTTCCCTTCTTTTCCTCATTTAAATAAAAACGCTTTCCCGTCGTTTCTATATCTCACTTCACTCGCACTCTGCCTACTCACTCACGATATGTTGCTAGTACTTAATATTCGTCTTCAAAGGGCTGGGTTGAATGGACGCATTTTTCAGGAAAATCAAGTTTGGTTGAATTGAATGACAACTCATCAGGCATAGGCACACTCATTCCTGCTGTACCTGATTGCCCTTTTTGCAGCTCCAATAATGAATCCATTGATCACATGCACGATTCCCCCGTTAGATCGCTTTAAGTCTAAGACTGGATGCTTTTCTCCACTCCACCCACGCCGTTAACGAGCTCTTTACCCGATGCACCCATAACGCAGTTCATTTACTAGAGCAGCGTCTTTTTCACCTCTCTGAAAACCCTTCTCCTACCAAAAATCATTTTCCGAATGTCACACGGTCTTTGCCCTTCTACCTACTCTGCATCCGCAACCCCGCCCTCGTATCCCTATAACTATCAATTTATAACACTCCAAATGCTGAAAAGTGTGTATTTTATAATTAAATAGATATAAATTTTAATTTATATTTAATTATATTTATTAAGATTTTATTTTTATTTAGTTAATATTAATATATTTTTCTCTCATCACTTAATTATAAAATAAAAAAGAATTTTAATATTCTCTCCGTTCAAAAATGTAAAAAAAATTTTTAAGAGTTGGATGTTCAAAAATATAAGCATTTTTAGTCTTTCAAGATATAATTATTATTTTTTTTAAAAGTGCCTCTATTAATAATAATTTTATATTTATCATAGAGTATTTAATAGAGGTAAATATAAAAAGATAGGGTTAATTTAAAAGTAGGTAACTATTTTATTTAAGGTAAGATTCAATTAAAAATATCTTATATTTTTAAACGAAGAGAGTACAAAATTTACGGATATCTTTTTATTTTTATATTTTGCAGAAAAAAAATAAATTTAATAGAAGGAAAAAAAAGAAAAGAATATATATATATATATAGAGGGAACGTAGGAAGCAATTGTCACAAGCATGTAAATATATGCTTAGAGAGTAAATATTCAGGGTGCAACACGCGATTTTCAAAACAAGGAAAAACGGCACAGCAAAAGATAAAATATTATATATATATATATATTAAAGTCCTATATTGATTAAGAATAAGAGATGAAGCCTTCACTTTTACTATAAATATCCCCTCCATCAAGAGTGGAGTGATCCAATTACTTATCTGAATGCTTCAAGAATTCTTTTTAAAATATTTGAAATTCATATAAGCATTTTAAAGGCTAAAAGTGATATCGTTGAGGAGTTTTATGAATTATAATTATTTCTTTTTTACTCCTTAATTTTCTCTATAATCATTTTTTGTTATTAGGGATTTTAAAATGGTATATTTATGAATATTTTGACTTTTTTCAATTATATTTATTTCTCTTACTCTTCATGTTGATTTAATGATTGGCCATCATTTAATCAAATCTATGGGTAATCTTGATAGATTGAGAGATGAAGATAGAACTTAGATCTAGAGAAATAGACATAAATAATTGGGTTAGGGATAGTTCTAAAAATTTATGGTGACTTAAAGTATAAATTCACAGTTTAATTAGTTGTTTGGATATTATGAGAATGAATTCAATACTAATTAAAAAGAGACTAATAATTTAAGATAATATTAGAACATTTTAAGAATAGTTGTCATTATAATTGGTCAAAATTAACTCAAAAGGTAGAAACTAGCAACCTATAAGACAAATTCTAAACCCTAACGCTTCAAGCAATTGTGTTTTCATCATCATTGTTTTATTAATTTATTTTTATTATTTAGATTTTTAACAAATTATCTATTTTATCTATTTTTCTCAAACTATTAATTATCTAAATTAATAAAAGGCAACTTCCCTGTGGGTTTGACACGTGAAATATTCTGAGTAATTTATTACTATGATCTCATACACTTGCAAGAGTGATCAAGTTTTTGGCGCCGTTATCGAGGAAGTTACGAATTTACTAACTACTTAATTTTTAGTTCATTTTAATTTTAAATTTTTTCCCTTTTAATTAATTAATTTATTTAATTATTTATTTTTTTATGCAACTAAGAGGTTCTGGTGACTTAAATTTGATTCCTATTAACCTAAAAATTGAACAATTTTATAGGAAAAATAGATCTCAAAGAAGAAGAAAGATGGGTGACAAAGTTATTCCAGAGCCACCTATTACATTTAAAGATATTCAATGCTTATTTATCACATCTAACCCATCATGCATCCAATTGAGTACGAGAGCGCGTAATTATGAATTTAAGAATATTCACTTAAATGCGCTAACTAATTTCAACGAACACTGAACTAAAAACGCCTTGGATTTTATGCGGTAATCGATACACTATCATTAAATAATCTATCAGATGACAATTTAAAGTTGCGTTGCTTTCCTTATTGTTTAAAGGGAGAAGCTCATCAATGGCTTTTGTGACTACCAAAAGCTTCCATAAGCTCTTGGACGAAGAGGTATGAACAATTTATATTAAAATATTATTCTCCCCAAAAATCTTCAAAATTAAGGGACAAGATTCACTTCTTTACACAGCAAAATAGTAAATTGTTCTATAAAGCTTGGGAACGTTATAATCTCCTCATCACCAATTTCCACGCATACTCTTGATAGATTTTATTTTATGATGGGCTGAATGCTAAATACCAATCAAAAGTTGATAATGCAGCTTGAGGTGATCCAAGTAACATGACTGTTGAAGAAAGAGAGGATATAAAATGCTAGCAATAAATTCAAGGTAAAAGGCAATTCGAGGAAGGAGGGTGATGGTTAATGAAGTTTCTACATCATATGTCTCACATGAACTATGGGATTTAATAAAGAAATTAAATTTATTATTAAAAAATTTTAGTTCTGTTAATTCCCTTTCTTCTGCTAATAATTCTCTTCATATAGGCTGTGATGAAGACTATGTGGAGGAGGCTAATTATATGAGAACTGATACTATTCGAATTAATCCTAGGAATAACCCCTACTCTAACACACACAATCCAAGGTGAAAAAATCATTCAAATTTCTCTTGGAAGAATTCCTTTGCTCAAGGGGTCTCAAGCACAGCCAGGCTTCCAACAACAAAGAAACATAATTAAGGATCATACAATGAAGTTGGAGGAAGCTTTGGCTCAAATGGCGACTTATCAAGTGAATAGCATGAAGAAACATTAATTAAGAGATTGACCAACTAAGACAAATAGTTGTTTCAACTCAAGCTTTTATAAAAAATATGGAATCTCAAATGAGTAATTCTTTGAGGAATATGGAGACTCAAATAAGCAATTTGACTAGCTTAATTACTGGAAAGAGTCAAAATAAACTTCCAAGCAATACTAAAGTCAATTTACGAGAGCAAGTTATGGCAATTATCTTACAAAATAGTAAGGAATCTTCCTCTGAAGCCAAACCTTATATATCTCCCATTCCGTACCCTAAGCACCCTAAAAAAAAGGATCCAAATGTAGGCTTTAAAAAATTCCATGAGATGTTTAAAAAAATTCAAATCAATATTCCTCTTATATAGGCATTAGTAAAGATGCCTGCTTATACCAAATGCATCAAGGAGCTTATTTCAAACAAGAGGAGGTTAGAAGAATATGCCACAGTGACACTTACAGAGGAGTGCAATGCGATTCTAAAAAAAAAGCTACCACTTAAATTGAAAGATCTAAAAAGTGTTACTATTCCTTCTGATATTGGTTTAAATATTATTAAAATTGATTGTGTGATTTAGGTGCTAGTGTTAACTTAATACCTTATTCTTTATGCAAGAAACTTGGTATAACAGATATCAAGCCAATCAATGTGACTCTTCAACTTGTAGATAGATCACTTAAATATCTATATGATGTAGTTGAGATGTCATAATGAAAGTCACTAAACTTTATATTCTTGCAGATTTTATTATTTTAGACATTGAGGATAATTGGAATGTCTCACTTATATTAGAAAAACCATTTTTAGCCATTGGGGGTGCCGTAATTAATGTGCCTAAAGAAGAATTAATATTCAAAGTAAATGAGGAAAAAGATATATTTAAATTTACTAAAGCTATTAGCCTCCCTATTTTTGAGAAATTTTTATGTAGCGTACAGGTGACACAGGAAGAGGAGAAATATTCAAAGGACCCTCCCTTATATACT